CCTGTATATGTGTGTGCTGGCAAGTGGGTAATGAAGTCTTGCAGTGACATGTAATCATGTCACCTGAACTGGAATCCATCTTTAACCTGGTGCTTTTCCAGTGAGGGGAGGTGGAAACCCAGAGGGACAAAGGGTTCCCGCCTTATGCAAAAGATATATAAAGGGGTGGAACAGAACAAAGGGGGGAGAGGAGCCATCATGAAGAATCCCCTAGCTATCACGTGAGCTGGAACAAGAGCTGTACCAGGGAAAAGAATTGTGCCCAGGCCTGGAAGGTGTCCAGCCTGAGAAAAAACTTACTGAAGCATCTCTGACTGAGCCAGGCGGCGCTGGGGGGGTGAGGGGGCAATTTTATATTAATAAGGAAATATTTTATAAATTAAACATTATTGAAGAAAATCAGTTGTACAATATCCAAACAAATTATTTTCCTAATATGAAAGTGAAAATCTATAATTATTCTTTTAGAATGTGGTGACGTCTATCAATATGGGTAAGAGATCAAGAGACATTGGTAGAAAGTACCCAAGTGGGAGTAAGAAAAGAGCCACATACAAGGCAAAGGCAGTTGAAAGACAGAAGCAAAAGGGTGCTTTAAACAAGTATTTTAGCAGACCTGATTCTACTGTTGAGCCAGAAGAGCTCCGTGAAGATGCAGATATGGTTGAAAATTCTCCAGTAGAACATATGACACAGACCGAGAACGACAGCAGTGACAAAGAATTTGAAGAGCCAAATCAGTCTGAAGAAGACACTCAAGACAATCACGGTGAAGAGAAGACTACGAAAAGGATTGTAACTGATGCTGAAGGTACTGAGGGTCAAGAATGCTTTTCTGATAATAAAGATGTGAGTGATTTAGATCCAGAGCAGAAAGGCAACTTCAACTCTGCTGACCAGATAGAAATATCTGATGATCCTGCAACTTGGCCAGAATACATTAGCCAGCATATCAGGGAGTATTTAGTAGAACAAGGGCCGCCTAAAATTATTGTAGAAGATTTCCCTAAAAATAAGATTGGGAAACACTTTTCAAAGTTTCACTGCAAAAGGAAACTTTCAAATGGTGAAATTGTACCTCGTCCATGGGTGATATACTCAGTGTCAGCCCATAAGATCTTTTGTTATTACTGTAAGATTTTATGCAATAATGTGACAAGTTCATTAGCATCTAATGGTTTTAATGACTGGTCTAATATTCATACAAGATTGGCCGAGCACGAAAACTCAAAAGGACATTTACAAGCTATGCTTAGTTGCTGCGACCTTCAGCAAAGGTTATCTGCTGAAAAAACCATTGACTCAATACAACAAAAACGTATTGACCAAGAAGCAAAACGCTAGTATCAAGTTTTTGAGAGACTAGTTGCTGTTGTTCAGTTGCTAGCAGAACGAAACTTATCATTTCGTGGGTCGGATGAACGGCTGGGAACATCATACAATGGAAATTTTCTTGGAGTTATTGAATTACTGGGAAAGTTTGACCCAGTGATGCAGGAACATTTACGAAGAATCAAGAACAAAGAAATACATGACCATTATTTAGGAAAAAACATTCAAAATGAAGTTATTAGTATTATAGGGAATGCTGTTAAACATGAAATAATAGCTCGAATTAAGGCTGCTAAGTATTTTACTATTATACTTGACTGCACTTCTGACATTAGTCACCAAGAACAAATGTCATTGACAATTAGGTATGTGGCTGATGGTGTATCACCAAATATTCCGGCAGGAGTATATGAACATTTCATTAAGTTCATAGTAGTAGAAAGCAGCACAGGTGAATATTTGTACAGAGAACTCGAAGACCTGGGATTGGACGTTGCAAATATCCATGGGCAGGGCTATGACAACGGTGCAAATATGAAGGGAAACATATCAGGTGTACAAGCACGACTTTTGAAAACAAACCCAAGAGCTTTTTTTACACCATGTGCATGTCACAACTATAATCTCATTTTGGGAGACATGGCCAAAACATGTCCAGATGCGATGAGTTTCTTTGGAACCTTGCAGCATATTTACGTCCTTTTTTTCTGCATCTACTAAAAGATGGACTATTTTTAGAAAACATGTTACTGGCCTTTCTGTAAAGCCACTTTGCGAAACACGATGGGAATGTAGAATGCAAAGCATCAAAGCTCTGCGGTACCAAGCAGGGGAG